CGAAGGGCTGTAAAGAAAGAGAGACAAGATCAAAAACCCATTTGTACAAGCCCCTCGTTGTTTGGTTTTTGATCTTGTTCTTCTTTGTTTTCAGCCCTTCGACCGAACGTCTGCCTCCCTCCTCCCCCCTAGCACTGCCTCGCCTGGCACGCCGGCCGACACTCCAGCGCGCCGACTGGTCGGCGTGCCGGCGGACTATGAAAGCAGCCTATGACGGGAGTTCTGAAGAGAACAATTGTGAATGAATGCTGAATGCGGACGAAATTAGATTCTGTGTTCGCGTCAAGACGAAATACAGGTTCTAGCCTCTCAGCTCCCTCTGTACATGCACTCACTGCAAAAATAGGGAAATAGCTTTTATAATTTATACACTTAACGGATCTGCATATTCTTTAAGGCAATACATATATTGGTATTTGAAACAGTTGCTGTTCGAATAGGAGCTTTCGTGGATAAGACTCGTTATATTATATGTTTGTAGAATCGTCGGCTGCATTTAGACCCCACGCGATGTCGAAATGATTGTATTCAGGCAGATAGGCGTTCACCTAGGAGTAGTTAGATATTTGCCATTATTGCAGACTTTGAGCAGTCACCTGACTACGAGGTACTAAAAGAGGTATCACGTATGTCCTGATGTCGTACTCGTCAGCATCCAGTCATTATTTCCCGAAAAGATATAAACGGGACATTGGGAATATTTTGAAGATTATATGGAGGGGAAATTATCTGAAATCATCTACATTCTGGTTTTGATTGAGGCGGGAAAAATGCTCGTCTCGCTCAAAAACAGAATGTAGACGATTCCAGATAAATATATCTGTCCTTATGTGACTATCATACATATATATTAATACGTTCCCTAGCCCTAATAAAATTCGGTCGCGGTTCCTGTAGTGATCATTTGAACCCAGTTAGGGATGTTTATATATGATGTGCATGCAGGTAATTGAGATAAAGTAGCTCTCCAAAGCATTCAACCAAATCCTTTTTTGGCCGTTACTTTTTTCTCAGTGTAGCAAATCGCGCGAGTTTTGATATGTTCAAGGAGGCATTTTTCACATCGTTCAACACTACTCAACTTTAAAGCAGCAGTATCCACGCAACTAAGAGGAAGTGTTTGTTGTGATAGTTAGATCGCTGAAAGCAAAGTTAGCGACGTCTGCAGTTATTTGCACCTGGTGTGAGTTTTTCTCCTCTATTGTATTCAGCATTAGCGCACATACACTTGACATATGGCAAAAAAGAAAGAAATATCAGAAGGACCATTATCCGTATTTCCAGTAGATTTTGAGTTCAAGCTCTTTGCGATATCTGGAACATGATCACACTGCAGCTTTGCAGTGGTAAATATTCACAATGCACCCATGCTACACATATTGAAATTTCGATTACGACTGAAAAGTATGAGTGAAGGAGCGTTTGCGACTCTAGAATTCATTTCCGTCAATGTAATTCCTTCTTTTTATAATCTAAGGGGAATGCGTGTTGTACCAGCATGCTTATTGTTAGTATATTTTCTGATTTCTGTTTAGTAACACAATTGAGAAAGAGCTACAGTAGTTGATTAGGACTAAGTAAAACTTGATCCTACTAGGTTTTGGTACCCGAGTGGGCAGACCTTCCTGGAAAAGGAAAAGTCCCCAGAAAGTTTGACGAACATCGCAAGGCCACCCTGCGAATGGCCGACGTGATAGACATTCGGCTGCCCAGAGAAGATGAGCGCTTTATCGATCATCGCCGCCAAGTCGTACTGAGCCATTCGGTCTCATTGTCAGCTGGAAAGGGTATAAATTATTCTCCGTCTGAGGGTCGAAATGTAGGCTCACTTGCATTTGCAGAAACTGCTGAATATTGCAACTGGCCGAATGTCTGTTCCCACGTATATTTTCCATCTAGGCATCAAAACCAGCCTCAACAAAAAAGAAACCTGACTACGGAAAGTTGGAAGAGCGGATATTGGTCTCTTGGAACCATCCATCCAGTTCTCTTCTACGTTTATTTAATCGTTTTAAAATACAAAAGCCAGTGAATTTGGGTTAACTCTATTATTAGGAAGGACTAGGGATGTTTCAAAGGTAAGGGTACTACAGAAGGTTTTCAGTCAACTAGGACCAAATCTGCCAGATTCCCCCACTTTTCCTATTCCATCAGATTGTTATGAGAAATCGGCATCTTCAAATCAAAGTTACATGTATGGCGGACTCTTGCCGAAACTGGCGCTTTACAAGATTTACACATCCGATTCGATTGCATATAGGAGCTTCTGCCGTGGAGGGTAATAGGGCTTGCCCCTCTTAGTTCTGTCACCTGGGGTGTGCGACGTTAGTCTCGACTGACATTACTTCGCGCCGAGGTGCGACGTGACCTCAATCGTGACTAACCTTATCTTAATTACGCGCCTCCCCTCGATCGTAACTAACCTCATCTTACTTATGAGAGTGATGATGAATGATGAGAAAATGAAACTGCAAAGAAATTATTTTTTCAACGTAAAGTTTTCTGGTCTTTGGTTTAAAGAGTTTTATTACCTTAAGCAATAGAAACATTCGATATTCATAAAAATGAAATCCGTGTAAGATGTAAAAAACATTCTTTTGGTCTTTTTTGATTTTCACTCATCTGTGACATCAAACAACATTTACAGGAGCGACGTAGATGTTGTATATTGGGGCATCTCGTGTTTGAAAGGCCATTGAACGCCCGCTGGCTGATCAGTTAGGCAATTCCACACTTTTCACGGAATATTACAATACTTCAGGCTAAATTCAGCACATCGAAGAGTGGTCATCAGCTACTATTTAGGCTGGTGGGTGAGCGATTTATATACAACTATCTTGTTTAGTACCTCACCATGTATTCTGACGACACTTTCTACTACTTCCGAGATTTCACGGGGTACCCTTCAGCTTCAGCGCAGCTTCATTCCGCGTCCAACCCTTTCACTATGATACTTCCGTACGACGCAACCTACCCAACCGCTCCAACCCGTATGGCTTGCATAGAGATGTCCCAATTCGTTACGAACAAGACCATCTGAATTGTTCAATTATTATCTTTAAGATAATTCCTATTAGAAAAATTAGAAAATTTTTCTTTACATTTTATTGGATTTTTTTTGTTGAAATTTCTATCATCTTGCATGGTAATAGAACTTTTTGAACCAAAGACCATGGAAGTTTTACGTTGAAAAACTGATTTTCTTGAAGTTTCATTTTCTCATCATTCGCCATAACTCTCACAAGTAAGATGAGGTTAGTTACGACCAGGGGAAGGCGCGTAATTAAGATGAGCTTAGTTACGATTGAGGTCACTTCGCACCTCAACGCGAAGCAATATCAGTCGAGACTAACGTCCCACACCCCTGTCACCTGTCACCTGTCGTCCCGTTGATCATCGATTTTCTCGAGCGGCTGCAGTAACGTCTCCATTCGTCACTATCACGAGCCAGAGTGGTCCAGTGAGTCGTCCTCGCTTCAGGGACACGAGGATCAGCATTCCTTCCGTTCAGAGCTTTTGTGTAGAAGTCTGACCACCTCGTTGGAGTTGGAAGTTAGTTTGATGTTCCGAGGGATCCAGCCAGTAACCGCCCTGGTACAACGGCCATCACTATATCGCATAACGTGTCCGGCCCACCTGATCTTCGATTTCTTGGCGTAATCAACGGCATTCTTGGTCTTCGTTCGATGATGGAACTCGGAACTCCGGATTCCCTTTGGCACTTCCGTGTATAGGGAAATTCCGAGCATCGTCCTTTTCATTTTCATGGGTCTACATATTTTCGATCATTTGTTTATTTCTTACCCGGCCATAAAAAATGGTGGGGAAATGCTAAGTCATAAGAAGAAACGTCAAAAAGGGACGAAGCACAGCAGCGAACTACAAGTTTTGTGATGAATCCAGAAAGGTGAAAGACGCATTATGGATCGGGTCAGAGCTTAGCATCATTGGAATTGAAGTTTTCCGAACCTTCCATCGGTACTAAATATTCTGCTTGAGGTTGGGTTACTTAGAGCAGGTCTCGAATATTGTAATGGGAACTGAGATTCCACCGGCCACAACATACTAATCGATATCGGCTACGTAGTACTTCTTTACCTTTTTTCTTTGTTTTTTCAGTTTTTTTCAGAAGATTGTCGGGACGTATTATCAAATAAATCGATCGCGAAACCGAAATCGTGAAATTTTGAGCTATGGGTTAATATAGAAATGGACATGAGGCTTGTGTATTAGCGGAGGATACCATTTTGTTCGAACCATCGATGATCCAACAGGGGATGGCTAATTTTTGAATGTATGGAGAGTTTATCCTTCTTTTGGATCTTCGAGAGCGTTAGAAAGTAGATTCGATCGGTATAATGAGTTGGAATCACGACATTCCCGGTAAATTGAGGTGAAAACTGAACTAGGACGGTTAAAGCTAGGATAGCCTGGAAAGGATCTCGATTCTGCGGATCACACAAAAGCGGATGATCAAAGACATTACATCGCATAGTAACAAACTCCGAAAACCATTCTTCATTCGATAATAAAAATTTAATCGAAGAGCTTTTTCTGGAGATCATTGAACATGGGAGCAATTTCCTTCCGACTGTAATCGAAAACTTTCCCGAATGATGCCCACTATGGGTCTGTGGACGTCGTCGGCTGCATGTGTACCCCAAGTGAAATCGAAATGATTGTATTCAGGCAGGTGTGTGTTGCTCTGAAAAGAGCATTTTGATTGAATCAATAGGTAACTATTAGGTTGAGTCATAATTCCTCGGACAATGTTAAAGTGATGATTTTTAGAGATCATAACTGGGGAAAGAGTTGACGGAAATGGACGGGCCAGGCATCGTCAGAGTATTGAAAGCTCTTCCAAATACAGACTAATGAACATACTTGTTTCCTTTCCTTCAACCATGCCCCATGATTTCGAGCCGTCGCAATTCCACCTCCGCAACACCATCCTATTTCTTTTTTTACTTGACAAAAAACCCGCAGAGATCGATAGACGTATGAAGGAAGTTTATAAGGAGGACGCCCCTGGCAGAAGCACAATTTACAAGTTGCATGCAAAGTTCGCGTCGGGCGACTATTCCATCGAAAATGAAGACCGTCCGGGACGCCTAATGGAGTTGGGTTTGGACCTGCTGCGGAGCCAGGTGGAAGCCGATCCGTATCAAACTACTCGTGAACTGGCAGTCACTCTTGAGATGAATCAGTCCACAGTTGTTCGTGGATTGAAGTCAATCGGCAAGGTGCAAAAGCTCGGTCGATAGTGCCTCATGCTTTGCAGCAGTATGACATGGACCACCGCGCCAACATGGCACTTTCTCTCCTCACGCTCAAGCGCACCCACACGTTGCTCGAGAGCCGGGTTACCGGGGATGAGAAGTGGATTCTCTACTCTAACGCTCACTGGCGTGCTCAATGGGTTGACAAAGGTGCGGATGTAGAAGACTTCCCTAAACCCAACGTACACGCCAAGAAGGTTCTGCTCTGCATCTGGTGGAGCGTCCACGGTGTCGAATACTGGGAGCTGCTAGACGAATGATGTACAGTGACTGCAGACATCTACATTAAAGGCACAGTTCACGATAATTTTGGGTAATCCAGATTATGATGAAAAATGGAAGAAAAGGTCGAAACTAGTGCGACTGAGGTGAAGAAACAGCATGCATCGGTGTTTCCAAAGTGAAAAAAGCTTCGAAAAACCGTTAAACAGGGGGCTGGACGAGAATGAAACAGGAAAATGAAGAGTGGGGCGTCAGGACGAGATAAACAATGTGTTTCACTGCGCGCGTGTGGGTCCTGGTGCGAATAACAGACAATGGTAAGCAAAAATTCATTCACTTATAAGCATAAATAAACAAAAAACGCTGGTAACAGCAAAAGTAGCTCACCTTTTTCAGCCTCTAGGACTAGGAAATTAGATAAGGGATCGCGGCAGCAAAAAGAAAAACAGAGGAAAAAGAATGGGGGAAAAACATCGCCTCATCACTCGGCGATTAGCTGATTGTGCGTGGGTTTCAGAACGAATAATAGCAATATGTATTGTCTCGACACTCGTCTAACGTGGCACCGATCGAAGGGCGGGAAAGCGAACTACGGCAGCAGCGGGCTTCCACTATGCCCTAAGCGCCAAGATTGTGGGCGTGAGAGGGTCCCTTCTACAACCCATTGCTGAGTATTCCTAAAGGAGGAACTCAGTAACCTTTTTATCGTGAACCGTGCCTCTAAGCAACTGAGGAATTTGAAGGCGAATCTCAGAGCTGCACGTCCACAGCAGCACAAAGTTCACTTCCAGCACGACAACGCTCGGCCGCAGATTGCAAGATCGAGCAAAACTGAACTAATGAATTTCGGTTGGTCACTTTTACCACACCCACCATATTCCCTAGACTTGGCTCCTTCGTATTACCACCATCTTCAATGTCATCTGGATGGCCAAGACTTTCAAGCCCGCCACGACATCAAAATGGCACTCGAGCAGTTCATCAAAGGCCAGCCCGAGCGTTCTGAAGCAAGGGCATTTACGATTTGCCCAAGCGTTAGCAGGAGATCATCGATGCCAATGGGGCGCATTTCAAATAATTCCCAATTGTCGTTTGAAATTGTAAGATAAATATAATCATTATCAATTGTCCGAGGACTTATGACTCAACCTAATAAAACTTTACAGAGCCTCCTTACCTTGACAAGAGGTTCTATAAGAGGAACCAAGTATGTTCTTATGTCGTAATCGTCAGCAATCCAATCATTTCCACCCGAAAAAATGTGGATGGGAACGTGGAGAATTTTCCTAAAGTCATATGAGGGAGGAGACTCCTGAAATTGGGAGGCTTGATGCCTGAGATTAGGGTCAAGAAACTGCCATACCTGCCCGTATATCTCCATATTCATTTTCTCTCCGTAGTCCAATCGAGACAAGCATCCCGTTTTGCCCATTTGAACCCAGTGTAGGACATTCAGGGATGATGTACCAGCAGGGAAATGAGATAGATAGACGGAAATTCGTTTCTGAATTCTCTGCTCGGTACTGGCCTATGAAGAATGCGCTCAACTTTATTTTGAAGTTATCGTTTGAACTTGCTTATTGCGTTCAGGGCCCATGCAATGGATCGTATATTGATATGTGCTATCCTAGCTTAGTGTTCGTATTCGTTTACATATTTCGATGAGGGATGATTTGGGTGTTAGGCGTTAATGGATCTCGTGTAGCTCCAACAAGGGTTCCTGATCCATCGCCTTTCTTCTGGATCTCATTATGACTTTTCCATGCTCAACTTTGGCTGGATTACCAGGAATTATTAGGTGGTTCGGAAAGTAACTACGATTTTTTGGCGTTTCACTGAAGAAGCTTTTCTACTATTGAAAAATTTTAATCAACGATAGTTCCCAGTTTTGTTTGGTTCATTTTTGCGTCCTTGTGTTGATCTCATAGCTCGCATCATCGCAGAACTTCCGCTTTCCTGGCCAAAGAAGTGGATCACATAAGATTTGATATTTTAGCATGGATGAAGTTTTCTCATTGATAGACTTCTCAAAGACCGAAATAAGTAGAATTCGGATGCCGCGAAGTTAAGGCTTTATAGTGTATGGAGCATTATTTTCCTGCCGGCGTTGATGATTTTTGCCGAGTCACCAAAAATGTGTGCGATCTGCCCTAGTCAATAACATTACTCTCTTGCGGTGATTCGGAGAGGATTCCCAACTGCTCCGTGAAACACCAATGGGAAGAGGTCCTAGTCAACATTCTGGGAATCGATCCTTCGGCCATGCATGTGTCATAGTGCGCCATACGCATCCCCCGCTATTGTTTCTACGGATGAGAAAACTAACTTGAACAACCGGTTTTAAAATTTGACCTTAGTTCATACTCACCGTATCTATAACTTTCTTACTTGGGCCACCAATCTTAAACAAGAGTTTCTTGCAGAGTTTGCGTTGAAATTCCTTGTCACAGTACGATGGCTTGAAATAACTCATCAAGGAGTCGCTGAGGGAGAACTGACCTGATCCAAACTTCCCTATCCAGACCTATGATGTAAGTACACTAATAAATAAAATTACAGAGCTTAAAAATGTGAAAATAGTGAAAGTCTTGCTCAAATAGACTAACATCAAATTCTGGTGAGTTCTCGGTTGCCAACACCTTCATTAGACCTTTGGTGTGTGTAACGAATACAGCTGGGGCCAAGGCGAACATAATTTTGATCTGAGATTTTGGCCTTTGAATCCTTCAAGGGAGAATCTTTTGACTGTACTCACCTTTTGACAAAAAGACGGGTCAGTGGAAAGCTTGGCGAGCATCGTGAGACTACCTTGTGAGTGACCAACGTAGTAAACATACGGCTGACCGGAGATGTTCAGTACTCGATCGATCATCGCTGGGAGATCGTATTCAGCCATTCTGGCCCAACTGAAATGAGCTGAAGTCAATTTCAGGTACTAAAATTGCGAAGACTAAGGTGGTTGAAGGTTCACGTAAAGTTCCAAAATCTATCTTCGTCTGGATCGAGGTGAGTGTGTTTTTTCGAGTACATGTTGCCACGCATATTTCCCATCCATACATCAAAACCAGCGTCGGCAAAGACGAACCCTGTCAAAAAAAGATCATCGAGGTTCCTTTTCGGGCAAATCCATAGTGATGGCGCAGCGCCTAGGTGTGTTCAGATTACTGTTCAACACATTCGTGTGACCTTATTATATGTCTTGTCGTGACGTCAAGAACTCTCTATGACATTTGACATGGTAAGTTGCGAAGAGGCTTCTATAGTCGGCTGAGAGGCTGTCCGATAGTGAAGGATTTCCGTTCTGTGCACATCGAACTAGATTAAACTAAAACTGGACTAAACAATTAAATAAACCCATAAATAGTACACCTAAAAATTAACTTATAAGTTTTTTTCGCTAATCGTTACATTCTAGCTCTGAAAAATGGCTACTCCTTTATTGTACCAAAGTGCCGTTCAAATAGTCAAAGGGACATCCCATGCAGGGAATCTTGTTTAGCTTGATACCAGTCGGATCGCCCGGCTAACGCCAGGCTCTCCTCCATCTTGTGTCAAACACCCTATCCCGAAAAATGTTGAACTGAAGAATTTTTTTCCCTCTCCAAAAGTTTAAAGTTTCGAAGTTTTTTCCGCTGTTTAGATGAGTAAGAGTATGGGACTGAAACAGAGCTCGAAATCCATCTTTGACACAGCAGTATCGAAAGCTTCCCGGATCCTTTGATAAAGTTGTAGTAAGATTAACTCTCCACTCCTTTTTTTGAAACAAATGATAGTTTCCTGTACAAGAAATTTGACACAGGAATAACAGGGCAGTGCAAATGGTATTCTGTTAAAGTTCGTGCTTACGCCTTTGATAGGAAGTCTCGAACTTTTGCTCTCTTTCTTAGAAATGAATACCCATCAAAAATCCAACTGTTAGACAATCAAGGATGATGCTGTGGAGATCTTCTGAGTGAAGATAACACCGTTATCAGATGTTCTTCATCAATGGACCCTTTTCTTAACGGAGATATCATTAGTTGAGGATTCCAGATTATTGGTGCTCGGTTAAGTTTTGTCGCAAAAGATATCGACCAAAGAGGACCCTTCATTGAATCACAAATCTTGCTGGGTAGCGGTAGTAATCTATTTGTAAGAAATTAACAAAGTTCTAATCTGCTTAGAGTAGTGCCGTAGAGGGTCCCGTTCACTGTACTTACCACTCACTTCGATCACCCTGCTCTACCATACCGTCTTATCGAATGAAACATACTGAACGGTCAAAGCTACATCGTAGATATTGGAGACGTTAGGATTTCGATCGGTGGATGGCCTCCCTTAGATCCCTTATCTTCTCTTATCAGTTATGATCAGTCCTCGTCACCGAGTACCTACGATCCTCTCATATCCTACATAAATTACTAATATGCTGAGGTTCCACTGGTAGTACGAAAAGTGTAATCCCACCAATTTTGAACGCTCTGGGTGCACGGGGACAGGAATTATGAATTAGCGGCCCAAAACTTTGTTCGCCCGCCCCCC